GGAGTAGGCGGGAGTTGAACTCTGACGTCACTGTCGAGCCGTTATTGGCCGACTCCGCCTACTAAGGGCTTCTCGGCAACTCTGCAGAATCCTATGGGTGACGTCACGGACCATACGTCCATTTATATATAGGCTACAGTCTATGGTTTTAATTCATGGCGGAAATATTTATCGTTTGAACATCCTCATCTCCTGGGGTAATGAGTGTGACCCTCCACGGATGCTGTACACTAAGTTTAGGGTAAAAAAAACAAAAATTGAAATTTAAGTGAATATTTCAATGTTTTGAATATTATGCTAATTTAGAAGAAAAAATATGTGGGCGGAGCTTAGGGTTCCAAGAGGATTATTTGTAGAGCAGGTCCACCCGGATATGTGTGCAAAATGTCAGGTCATTTGGAGTTACGGTGCGACTTTGTAAATGTATTCCGAAATGGGATTTTGATAGGTGGCGCTAGCGAGCATGTTGGAATATTTTAACCCATTGACTCCAGAATGTTGCAATTGTTACCGGTTCTGGCGTCCGTGCAAAATTATACAACTTTTGAAGTATCCTAAAGACCTCAAAAACAGGAAAGATGGCGACTAATAAGAATAATTCCACCAATAACAATAGGTTTCCTCGCATTTCGTGCTAGGACGCCGTCGGGTCCTAGCGCTCCGTGCTCCGGCCCTAATAATAATACCACCAATAACAATAGGTTTCCTCGCACTTCGTGCTAGGACGCCGTGCTAAGACAATATATATAAGGAATTGTGCATGTTGAATTTAGTTCTGTATTTTTTTTAAACTGAAATATTTCCCGGGTCAATTTGACCCGAACATTACCAAAGGGTGCGAAATGTGAACATAACACAAGGGTTAAATTACCTGCTTCCCACTTCCTTTAAAAAAGAGGGACAACTAAAGTGAACACATTTAAAGATAAACCTTATCCAATGAAACTGTCTTCTAGATTGAGGCTGTAGCCAATTGGTGACTTCTTAAATACTGACAAAAAGAAGATCCCTACTGCCTGCATCATTTTACAGTATATCATATCACAGTTCCTTCATTCTGCCACTTGGAGCCACCAGTGCTCCATGTTTCCTGTAATGCAACTTCAAGTGACTTAACTGAGCCAAACAAAAACCTGCATTGGTTGTAAGCAAGCCATCGTTTTCATGTTTGAAGAGCTATTTTATTATGTTAAGGTGGAAATAAACTCAGTGCATTTACTCACATTCTGTATTCAAGCAGAATTTATATAGTAGGCTATTATAGACAGGATGCTTGTACCTGCGTTTCATTCATTGAACCAGTAAAAGGAAAAGAGACTGCAATGTTTTTTTTTGTTTTTTACCTTTTAATAAATGTCCAGAGGATCTTTCGAGCGAGGGGGCAGGGCGGAATACACCGAAGTAATTTCTAAATAAAAGCCCTCGTCTGGTCAACGCGGGGATGTATTAAGAGAACAAACTGCACTTTTTAAGTGTTTTTAACTTATCGTTAGAAATAACAAGAGAGAGCCGTAGAGACAGTCTTTAATGTCCTCTCAGAGTCTATTTTGATAAGACTAGTTTTCCAATGTTCGGTTTTATTTTGAAAGATATTGATCCATAACTCAAACACAAACGATGTCTCTTAACAACCATAGTTAGGTAGACGAGCAGGTTCAGCCTTATTTGCCTGCTGGTTGAATACTACAACATAGATTAGCTCCATGGCATAATGCAGAAACCCGCAAAATAAAGCAAAAGTCGAGACAACTTGAAAGGATATGGCGTTCCACTAAACTTGAAGAATCTCGTTTAATTTGGCATTAATAGATGAGAATAAGAATAATGCAAGATTTCTTTTCAGCACTGTAGCCAGGCTGACAGAGAGCCATAGCTCGATTGAGCCTTCTATTCCCATAGCACTCAGTAGTAATGATTTTATGTGCTTTTTTAACGATAAAATTGTTACTCTTAGAAACTAAATTAATGACCTCTTGCCTTTGACCAGTATAGTGTTATCAACAGCTCCCGGAAACGTAAGTTCTAATATTACACTAGATAGTAAACTAGAATGCTTTTCAGCCATAAACCTTGAACAAGTAAATGCAATGATTCTCTCTTCTAAACCATCAATGTGTATGTTAGACCCAATTCCAACTAAGCTGTTGAAGGAAGTTTTTCCATTAATTAGCACTTTTTTATTAAATATTATGAATATGTCTTTATTATCAGGCTATGTTCCACAATCATTCAAAGTAGCAGTGATAAAACCGCTTCTTAAAAAGCACAACCTCGATCGAGAGGTTTTAGCCAATTATAGACCTATTTCTAATCTTCCGTTCCTCTTAAACATTGTTGAGAAAGCAGTCACAAAACAGTTGTGTGATTACTTAAAAAACAATGATTTATTTGAAGATTTTCAGTCTGGCTTTAGAACACATCATAGCACAGAGACAGCTCTGGTTAAAGTCACAAATGACATTCTAATAGCCTCTGACAAGGGACTTGTCTCTATTCTTGTTTTGCTCGATCTCAGTGCTGCATTTGATACTATCGACCATGACATCCTATTGCAAAGACTAGAGCACTTAGTTGGCATACAGGGAACTGCTTTAGGCTGGTTTAGGTCCTATCTATCTGAACGCTCTCAGTTTGTACGTGTCAATAATGAATCTTCCACGCAAACCAAAGTTAGCCATGGAGTGCCACAGGGCTCAGTGCTCGGACCTATTTTGTTCACATTATATATGCTTCCGTTAGGCAATATTATAAGGAATCATTCTGTAAATTTTCATTGTTATGCGGATGATACTCAACTATATTTATCAATCAAGCCTGATGAAATTAATCATCTAAATAAAATTCAAGACTGCCTCAAGGACTTAAAAACGTGGATGACTTTAAATTGTTTGATGTTAAACACGACCAAAAAAGTTATTGTACTTGGCCCGAAGAATCTACGAAACAAATTATCTAAAGATATACTAACTATGGAAGGCATTAATTTGGCCTCCAGTGAGACTGTAAGGAATCTTTGTGTTATATTTGATCAGGATTTATCCTTTAACGCCCACATAAAATCAATCTCAAGGACCGCCTACTTCCATCTACGTAACATTGCAAAAATCAGGCATATCTTGCCTCAAAACGATGCAGAGAAACTAGTCCATGCATTTGTTACTTCAAGGCTGGATTATTGTAACTCTTTATTATCAGGGTGTACCAAGAAGTCAGTCAAGTCGCTTCAGCTGATTCAAAATGCTGCAGCTCGTGTACTAACCAGAGTTAGGAAAAGGGACCACATTACTCCTGTTCTGGCTGCCTTACACTGGCTCCCTATAGAACACAGGATATAATTTAAAATTCTTCTTCTCATCTACAAAGCCCTTAATGGGCAGGCGCCATCTTACCTTAAAGAACTCATTATACCCTACTGTCCTATTAGGGCATTGCGTTCCAAGAATGCAGGGTTGTTGGTTGTTCCTAGAGTCTGTAAAAGTACAATGGGAGCCAGAGCCTTTTCTTATCAAGCTCCACATTTGTGGAATCAGCTTCCAGTTTGTGTTCGGGCGGCAGACAGCTTATCCGTTTTTAAGAGTATGCTTAAGACCTTCCTTTTTGATAAAGCTTATAGTGATAAAATAAAATAATCTAATAAGAGTGCATTGACGTAGATACGTTGTGCCTCTTCACCTATACATTGTAGTTCTTACGCTTTCACTTAAATCCTAAAGACTTAGATCTTATATTTAAAACTGTATCCAAACTTTTCCCCTCTATGACCTCTCAAGGTTTATTAGTGGAACCTTTATGCTGCAGGTCTCCTTCGAAAAAGAGATCTATGATCTCAATGGGACCAATCTCGTTAAATAAAGGTTTGAAATGAAATTAGAGGGTAACAGGTTGCAGAGAACGCCTAGCCCGGCCGGGGAGTGTGGAACGTAGTCACTGACCCACTCCTACCTCTGACAAATGCAGGTTCCAATGGGGACCTTTTTCCCTGTGTGCATCTCCATCTCTGTTTCCTACTTCTTACTTGCTACCCTTTCCCCTCAACCTATCCTAAGGGAGTGCATGTATGTAGACACGTTAGTTTAGCTGCTATAGGCTTGGACTGTTGGGGGGGTAACCTTACTCCGTCTTTCTGGCTGTTTGTACCTGTGTACTCTCATGTTCCGATCAACCCAGTTTCCCCCAAATCTCTTTTTTGTGTCCATATATACGCCGGGATCCTGAGTCGAGGCTAATCCTGTTGTTGTGGTAGTGTGTCCTGGATCCTCTATCCTGAGCACTGGATCTGAGTCCTGGACTTCGAGTCGTGGCTGAACCTATCTTTGCGGTCCTGCCAGACTCTCACCATACGACTTCACTGATGGCTCCCATAAGATTGCTGACATTCTCGTGGATTCATCTTCTTATTACAGACACATGCATTTCCAAACATTTGGACTACCTATGTTGTAAATGTATTATCTTTTCGATTTACATACGGCATCTATTGCACGTCTGTCCGTCCTGGGAGAGGGATCCCTCCTCTGTTGCTCTCCCTGAGGTTTCTCCCATTTTCCCCTTTAAACTGTGGGTTTTCTCCAGAAGTGTTTCCTTGTACGATGTGAGGGTCTAAGGACAGAGGGTGTCGTATTGTCATACTGATATTCTGTACACACTGTGAAGACCACTGAGACAAATGTAACATTTGTGATATTGGGCTATATACATAAACATTGATTGATTGATTATTTTAAAGAACATTCAACACTGGAGTTAGTTGAGTAAGGATGTCACCTGTTGTGCTTCAAAGAGATATTAGTATGTTTATAGGGTGGCTTTGCTGCTTCAGAAAACAGAAATAAACAAACATGCTGGTAAACTTTGGGACCAATCAGTAAGTAGCACGTTGGTGACATGAAAAAGCATACCGACTCTATAACTACTCATCATAAATTAAAAAAGACCCACCCTAGTACTGAACCTGTTTGGCAGGAAGAGCTGAGATCCTTTAAGAACATGAACAATACAAGTGCATTTTATTGTTTTATTGGAGTGTATACCACATCAAATACATGAATGCAATGCGAATTTTGTGTGGGAAAAAAGTGTAAATAACAAGGAACCAGATATAATAAGCCATCATCTAGATCTCTCTAGATTTCATATATGAATGAAAGAACATCAAAAAACATTAATTTGCAGTGAGTTTTATACTTTAAAATAAGAGAAAACAGATCAAACTCATTCTTTGAGAAGCCTAGTCTACATCCAAATCACCCTCCAGTAGTGCTGTGATCAATGTTGATGTAATCAATTCATTGAAATGTCAGCCTAAACTTATCAAACCATGCTAAACAGAAAATACATATATGAAAAAGACAAAATAACTGTTGAAATATTAAAAGCAAAACGTCTCTGTGATATCACAGCAGTGGCTGAGATCCAATATCTATTCTCCGATACATAGTGAGGACTTTTTCACTGGGGGATCTCATTCAAAACATAACAACAGAATACAGCATAGCAACTCATAGTTTGCCATGATGGTCCAAATGTGCCCAGAGGTCTCTCCTCTCCAAAACAAAGTGACCCAGAGAGTAAAGCTGGTTCAGCACTGAATACAGCAGTTTACTTTTACAGTTAATGTTCCCTTGATGGATAAAAGCCAGAGAGGCTACAAGCTAATGCAAAGTTACCTTCTCTGCAAACAGTTCTGGAGGTTTAACATTTCATAGTTGATCTGTAAGTCTTCTTACATTGCCAAACATTGTTACAAACCAAGGTGCTAACCTCTGATTGCCGTCCTAGAATCGGACATAAATCTGCCAAGAAGTCCTGTTGCCTGAGCTAGGGTAAAAGCCAAGATTTAAAGTGTTTAGTAAAAGTGTGTTGAAAACTGGATTAAAATGTATGAATGCTTCTAGCAGACAACTAAAATGCTGATGCGCACAAAAGCAGGGGGGGGGTGGATGTGGGGGTCGCTATTGACTTGGAGATATATCTTAATAGACTGAACAACATAAGGTTATCATCAAAGAGCTTTTTTTTTTAATAGGAATTTTAAATGACATGAATTAGGGCACCACATTATGCTAACAATAAAAAACACTCAAAGTCAACAGAGATAAGAACTTTAAAAAAATGATTGAGACCCACTCCAGAGGCCTCATGTCTTTCATCCTCGGTACGTTAACAGGCGTCTGCTGCTAGTCTCCACGGATCAACCCTGAAACGTCCACCAGAGAGAAAGAGCGATGTTGTGAAATTAAATATTAATAACAAATACTTATTAACAGTTTGGATCATCAGTTTCACTAAAACCTACCAGTGCACATCATGCAGCTGCTTGACCAGGTGAATCACTACTGTAATAAAGCACCGTTAGTATATTCAGAAAATAAATCATAATCCAGACAATATGTATATTTTACATTATGTTTAAATGGAGTTTTACCAAAGAGTTGCATCATCATCTGGGCTTTAGGTCAGGTCATTGCAGTGTTTGTTTACCTTCTCAAGCTCAACACTTACATCTAAAAAAACAACAACATATTGTTTCAAACAATGGATTCATTTAATACACTAATGGAAATGTATCGACTATTTATTTACGATCAAATGTACTCTATTTTTGTGATTTTGTTTCCTTTACCTGGGATGGAGACAGCATGTGTCTTGAGTGACAGCACGATTGATTCCTGCATCGTGCTCTTCAGTTCCTTCAGGACCTCCGACTAAATCAGCATTGAAATATTTATCAGTTATCACTGACATTTTTGGACATGTATGTTTGTGTTGCAGTGTTCCTAGTTGAATTTTAAGTGAAGAATTATTTCTGACGAAATATAAAATGTGACAAACCATCAAGTCCTCCAGCTGTTCCATCATGGCGTTTTTAGCATGAGTAAACATGACGTCCTTTGAACGACGTACGTGCTCTTCAATAGTTTGCCTCATGTTGTTCATCGAGCCTTTTCCTTTAATTTTTTCTGCTCCTACATAAAACAGAAACATGTTGACATAAACATTTTGCAACATGAAAATGTGTAGAAGTGTATTTATATGTCTGTAATGATCTTCTGTCTTACCGTCATAGCATGGTTTCATTTTCTCTTTGATTGTTTTTTCCAGGCTCCTGTAGATCGTTTTCTTTCGCTCACGGATGATTTCGTTGAGTTCTGTTTTAATCTTTTCTTCCTTAGAGAGAGAACGTGAAGCAGATATCAACATATTTTAAAAATGAATAATTTACAAACAAGGCTCATCTTTTCCTTTATTATTTTTTCCTGATTTTACGTGGAAAAACAGATCATTATTCAAACTGATAGGACGTGTTCACCAGCTGGGGGTGCACTTTGCCCAATATCAGAATATTCTTTTGTAATCTTGAGTGTGTCGTCATGACTTGGGGCAGCCTCAGATTTACAGCTGCAGTTCATTTGTCAAAGCCATCTCCAGTTCATACTGAGCTATTCCAGTACAATGTATATTTCATTTCATTTCAAACCTTTATTTATGCAGGTGAATCCCATTGAGATCATTGATCTCTTTTTCAAGGGTGACCTGCTGCAAGTAGGTTCCACATGAATACATATAAACATAACAGAAAAACAAAAAGGACATCATACAGCATATTTACAGCGACTACAGTTTACATAGCTAGTGACATTTACAGGTTCCAACAGTTTCCGATTGGATAGCATCTATCCGTGCTTTAAAAACATTTAGTGGAACCAAATTGCTCAGCTTCCATTCCTTTTGCAGACTGTTCCAAGTTAGCGGAGCTGCACATCTAAAAGCTATCTTCCCGAAGACAGTCCTAGCAGTTGGCACATTTAATAAAACCACAGCATTCGATCTCAGGCAGTAGCCACTTACAATTCGCCGTGAGATCAGGGAGCAGATATAAGATGGAAGTTTCCCTAACATGGCTTTGTATATAAAAATGTACCAGTGACTGAGCCTCCGTACAGTTAGTGAAAGCAAACCAGCCCTTGCATACAGGGTACAGTGATGGGTTAATGCTTTACAGTTTGTCACAAATCTCAGTGCACTGTGATACGCAGCATCTAACTTGATCAGGTCATTACCTGATCAAGTTAGATGCCGCCTATCACAGTGCACTGATATTTGTGAAGGCAGGTGCATTCGGCAGGTGCATTCATATAGATCAGATCACCATAGTCCAGCACAGGTAAAAAGGTCATAGAGCCTTTTCCTGGCCTCAAGCGAGAAACAGGACTTGTTCCTGTAGAAGAAACCTAGCCTAACCCCAGCTTTTTAAGCAGGTTATTGACATGACGTTTAAAAGTGAGACAATAATTAAGCCAGATACCAGTATATGAATATGTTGACTGATCAAAATGTATTATATTTAATAATATCGCTCACCCTTCCACTACAGTGTCCCTGGCTTTACAAACATGTTTGATAATGGACTAATGAAGCTCAGCGCAAGTTCAACCAGGAAGACCGTCTTTACTCATTCATGCATTTCTATCTCCATGTTTCTACTCTCTCTCCTCTCAATAAGTGACCGGGGGTGTCACTCTTCAGCTTAGCCAATCACTTCGCTCTATTCCCAAGAGCCTATCATAGCGTGCGTCAAACCCTTTAAACTCTGCTCTTTCCCCTCTGACAGCTATCATTTCAGGTGACTCAACGCAATCGTCAGTCGCAAGCAACTGGCAATCGCAAACAAAACCTCCTAAGTGTTAGCGCTTCTAGAAAAGAAACCTCATCATGTCCAGTTCGGATTTATCCGAGATCGATCTCTTTCAGGAGGATCCCGATCCCGGCCCCGACGTACCGGCTGACACAGCTTCGACTTCCTCAAGTTACCGGCGCACGAGCATTCGCTTGCTCACCCGCAGCGGCTCAGCCTCACGGACAGCAGAGGCAGAGCTCCTCACCTCCCAACTACAGCAGCAGGGCATCTTACCAGCCCTAGGTCTCCCTCTTTCCCAGCTTCGCGAGCTCTCAGACCAAGTCCCACTTCTCGCTCCCCAGCCCCTGGCAGCAGCCCCTGCCAGCAGCTCCAGCCGGCCCCTCCGACAGACCAGGGCGCGGGCGCGGGGGTAAAAGAACAAGGAAGTCGAGCCCTTCAGCAGCTCCTCCGTCAAAGAAGACAACTCCTTCCCAGCCTCACCACATCGCCGTCCAGCCCGTAATCACCTCCAACCAGCCCTACATGGACAACAGCTTGGCCAACACCCTGCAATCCTTGGCCGACTCCATGCAGAGAATCGACACTCGCCTCCAGTCCCACCAGGGCTGTACTTTCTGTTATTTCCTTCACATCTGCAGTTTCTGCAAGGACTCGCACCCGAAGTCCGTGTGCCCCAGGCGCAGCGGCCGACCCAGGATCCCCGCCCTGCTTCAGAAACCTCCCGGCGGGAAAACCTTCTGAACATCCACCCCTCCACTCCCATTAACATAACACACTTAGCAGCCGTCCTTTCTACTCACCCAGATCCCGTGTTCGTAGACTATCTCCTCTCAGGGCTTTCCTAAGGCTTCAGGGTAGGAGTCCTCTCTTCCCCCACCGTGACCTTCGAGGCAAAAAACCTGCAGTCTGCCATCAAAGAACCCGCAGTCGTTTCTCAGCTCATAGAGAAAGAACTCAGCAAAGGGTATATTATCGGCCCTTTTCACTCAGCCCCATTCTCGGTGTTTCGCACCAGCCCAATAGGCGTAACCACTCGTAAATACTCAGGGAAAAAGAGGCTAATTTATGACCTGTCTGCACCCTGCTCCGGCCCCTTTTCCAGCGTCAATAGCCTCATCCCATCAGAGCCATTCTCCCTCCACTACGCCTCGGTCGACAACGCAATTAAGCTAATTAAATTTGCAGGTCAAGGAGCCTGGCTCTCCAAAGCAGACATCACCGATGCCTTTAAAATCATTCCCATTCATCCGTCCCAGTGGAATATGTTCGGCATCAGGTGGGAGTCCAAGCTCTACTTCGCCGTCCGCCTCACCTTCGGGTGCAGAAGTAGCCCATGTATTTTTAATTCCTTCTCCGAGGCACTCTGTTGGATCCTGCTGAATGTCGTCAGAATCCCATCTGTTCTTCACCTTCTGGATGATTTTCTTCTCATAGATCCCCCATGGGACAACTCAGGCGCTTCACTGCTGAAACTGAAACTCTGTTTCCAAGAGCTAGGCGTCCCCCTATCCCAGGAGAAAACCATAGGCCCCGACACAAGTCTGGAGTTCCTGGGCATCACTCTCAACTCCATAGAGATGAAAGCGTCTCTCCCAAATGACAAACTGCAGCGCATACGCGACATCACTAAGTCCTACTGCGCACAACACATCATTACTAAACAGCAGCTGCTCTCCCTCCTCGGGCACCTTAATTTCGCCATGCACGTCATCCCTCAGGGACGCTCATTCATCTCCCGCCTCCTGGACGCAGCATCAGCTGTTAAAAACCTCCACGATCATGTCCCCTTAAACGAAGGATGCCGCTCGGACCTGCGCTTCTGGTCCCTCCTGCTCGACCAATGGAACGGAGTCACTTTTTTCTACGACGACATAGTGCATTCCTCAGACTCAATGAGGCTTTTCACGGATGCCGCCCCATCCGCTGGGTTTGGGGGTTTCTTTCAGGGAGAGTGGTTTGCAGGTCCCTGGCCCCTCTCCTTCCCTAATCACGCCACATCCTCTGCCCTGCACGAGATCTACCCAATCGCAGTAGCTTGCTACGTGTGGGGCCACCTCTGGCTCCGGAAACGCATATCAGTGCTATGCGATAACCAAGCAGTAGTCGGGATCATTAATAAAGCGTGCTCTCCATGCCCTGACATCATGCCATTTATGAGAAGCATCACGTGGTCCTCCATCACTCATAACTTCATCATCTCAGCCCGTCACGTTCCCGGCCACCTCAACGTAATCGCTGACTCCCTCTCTCGCTTTCACTTTCAGACGTTCCGGAATCTCTGCCCAGAAGCCAGGCCGCAACCAGTCGGGATTCCCCCTCTCCATCTCCTCTCCCTCTTCTAAACACGAGCCCCTTAGGTAGACACCTCGAGTCCGCCAGGTTCTTCATGAGGAAGGGCTTAGCCGCTTCCACACTTAAAACGTATGATTTTGCCTGGAGAACCTTTGCCATGTTCTGCTTTTCGTTAGGCATCCCCCTCAAACCCGTTCTCATCCACACTGTGTGCGCCTTCATGAGCTACTGCTTCACCAACCGTCACCTCAAACCCCAATACATTCGGGCCTGGTAGCCGGGGTGCAGTTCAACGTTCGATGCTATGATCCCAGCTTTCCTAGCTTATTTTCTAACCAGGCAGTTAAGCTCATTCTCAAAGGACTAACTAAAGCTTCCCCTCCTGTCCTGGACCGCAGACGACCTATTACTCTCTCCAATCTGCGCCTCATGCTTTCCAAACTTAGAGAAGGAATATTCACTCCATATATAGACGCTCTACTCGATGCTCTATTTCTTTTAGCTTTTTACGCTTTTCTTAGGCCCGGCGAATTCTCCACAGCTTCCCTCACGTTCGACCCCCAGCGAGACATTTGCTTTTCCGATTTGTCTTTTTACGCCAGTCACTACAGCTTAAGCCTTAAGCACTCCAAGTGCGGAGGTGCTTGCTCCGTCATTGCGGCTTGCATCGATTCCCCGTTCTGCCCCCACAAATCTATGATCAATTACCTGCGCTTCAGATCTTCCTCTAGCCCCCTCTCACCATTATTTCTCATTTCAGGGAATACTCCCTTGTCACAATCCCGGTTCAAATACTACTTAAAGCAAGTAGTCATCAAAAGTGGTCTATCACCCCAATTTTATTCAGGGAACTCTTTTAGAATAGGCGCAGCTACTTCTGTGGCTAATCAAGGCATATCATCCTCATCCCTGCAACAACTCGGGCGGTGGTCCTCCGCTGCCTTCTCCTCCTACATCCGCCCTGACATCAGCTCCGTTCTGGCAATCTAAAAATCTCTCAAGCCTTAACTCGGGTAAATATGCATATAACTGGTGGTGGTGTTTTATAGCATATCGGCATATCATTCATCATGACACTATCTGCACATAAACACGCGCGACATTCACGTCTTAATTCCCATGCTAATTAACATGTGCATTTCATCTGTATACTCATCATCGTCTCATCTCATGCTACAACCCCCGTGTATTCATGCATTAACCGGCAGGGTCCGGGTTCGTGTCAAGTCAAGATTCTGAGTCTCCTTCCCCCTGCTACAACCCCACATGCTTTCCACGCATCTCAGCCATACATTCATGTGTCTCTCATGCTTTATCCCCGACCAGGGCCATACATGTGTCATCGTTCAGCTCTAACGAGCTGAAGGTCCGCTCCCTCTGAGTAACTTCACTCTTAATTTTATGCCATGCAATTAACTATTCTTCTCTCCCTCTGTATATCTCTCATTCATAAGATCCCTGCATCTAGCCCGTATGGTAAGAAACCCGTACATTTCATTCCACAACACATTTTGTTTTGGGGGGTTTTCATCGGATCGGTTCTACCCTCCCGAATGATACTTCCTGCACAACGGTGCCGAATCGCCAAAACTACTGTCACATTCATTTGTGTATCTGCGCATTAAATATGTATCATCACATCAAAACCGTCTCTCCTGATTGAAATTAATAGGATCTTTTACCTCTGCCATGAGAAATGTCAGCTGCAGTTTGGCATTTTTATACTTCTTATTCTTCAGCTTCTCTGTGCCAAGTGAAAACGCATTGATGACCCCGTTGAATGGTCCACTGTTTCCTTCATTTCTAAAAAATATTAACACAACGAAATGCTTAAATTCATCAACACGTTTGTATTTCAATAATGTATTTTAATGTATTGTACAACATCATTTGTTCCAATACAGGGTTTTATGTGTTTATTAAGTAATTTCTTACGGGAAGGTCTTCTTAAATTCCTCGTCAATGCAGTCGGTCAAACATGAAGCTAACTTCATATTGATGTTTATTGATTTCCCTTTATTTGTTATGTGGATGCCACCCTTCTCAACTACACACTTCAATGTCCTGTGAAATGCACTACCATTGTCTTCCTGAAACAAAACAGAATTTTGTAAGAGACATATTCATACTAAGAGCAATCAGTTGTTTTGATTTAATTAAATACTTACAGCATAAAGGACCGACTTCAAGAGTTTTTCACATGAACTTTTAGATTTGTTAACCCCCCTACTGAGGCATTTTTTAAAAGCCGTAAGGGTCGCCTTCATGGCTTCCCTGACTTCTTGAAGTTCACAAATCAGCTTTTTTTCAAGTCCTGTGCGCACATTTTTCTTTATGTCATCCTGAAATCATACACAACACAAATTAATTATTTAAAGCATTTCAACCATAATTCAACAAGGGATTTTTTTTCAAGCCCTTACAACAACAAGTACAAAACCCTTTAATTACTGTAGCAATGCATCCTCTCTGAAGCAACACAAACTCAGCAAATCCAATACCTTGTTGGCGTACAGGTTACATTACATGTAAGCAGTCTGTCTTTTACAACATTTTAGTGCATGCAGCTTACTTATTTTATATGAATGTTGTTATTTCAATATTAAAGACAATGAAAGATGTTGTTACTTGATCTTACCCCTTTACTGCTGCTGGCTCCCTGCATCAGAGAGAGAATCCCGCGAGCTCTAGACACATAGTTGAATGTCTCAGAGTGACTGTCATTGAGTTCTTGCAGGACATTCTGCAGTTTTGGAATTTCTGTAAAAAATGTAACATACTTACATTACATTCTTGAATTTACATGTTATACTCAATTAGTATCTCTGTATATTTATTGGAGGAGATAAAACCATTTTGTAATCCTGGCTCACTTATGGAGACTTGAATCACCTGTTTCATTTGGATCCAGACGTTTCTTTTTCAAGAACTCTGTGGAGCTCACTGTGAAAACCTTGAAACACTCCTCACTGAATTGTTTCTGAGAAAACAAACAAGTTTAGATGTAAAAGCAGGTTTGCAATTTTGACAATATTTGTTTTTGATTTGTGTTCAATATTACTCACCTTAACGCATTTTTGTTTGCTGAATTCTGCCCTCACTTTTGTCTTGGCTCGATCGTTTTCATTCAGTATCTGAGCACGAACACCAGCTGCTGAACTATATGAAAGATTTGTAATTAGAGAATTACATAAACTGCATATTCAATCCAGGATATCATATCACTACGCATCTCGATCTTGCTTTAAATAACCAGTGATCACATGAAGTAGCTTAATCCAGCATCACAAAGTGTTTGTGAAGCAACAACATTAGGACAGAAATAAATGGCGGAGATGTTGAGGAATCCAGACACACATGCAGACAATTGAGAAACACGGATACTGTTATGATCATAAATAACCTGGTTTATCATGTTTCAAGTGAACATTATATCCCTGAATACGATCAAAAATACTAATGTGCCTGTTAACGTAATCAATGTTTCCATGGCTTCTCCTCTTGGCCATCTCCGTCTCAAGCGTCAGTGTCAGTGGATGGTACATTTAACTGTGTACTTTTGGCATCTTAAACCACTTACTGATTGCGTGAACGTCCCATATCAGACTTGGTGCAGATAAAATGAATCTGCCGACACTGGCCACCATTTCCCATGAGGCTGCAGGATTCTTTCAGGATCTCCCAGGGTTCTTTTTCTGAAGCTGCTCGATTTATATCAGTCACAATCCACACAGTAGAACAACTTCTAATAACCTGGAGGGGAATACAGCAAATAATAATGGTTACATTGTCAGTGTAACCTTCCACAATAATCAGCATTGCATGTGGATGAATCACCTTTTTCCACATCGTGTCTCTGCTCTTGTTACGGTCCCCATTTCCAGGAAGATCCACAAGTGTGACATGCTGGAGAAGAGGATTGTTCGGCACCCTGACAGTCACACACTTCACCAGTGGCCAATACCGCTTAGCATCTTCCTCGCTTGACTCACTTTGTGTGTATTTGTCCAATGCTGAAGATAACTTTTTAGCCTAAAATAGATAATAAATAATAGAGGCAATGCAAGGCCATTTATTTTTACATGAACAAACTTTAACTTTAAAGTGCTTTAAAGATTGTGTTAAAGAATTATTACAGCATAACATTAAAAAAAAGAGTCAATTTTAAACCCTATCACTGAAACAACAACATCTGAATTAAATTAAAAAGTAACAAACCTTACGTTAAAATGTTGGCAATAGGGAACAATTATGTTTAACATTTTTAACATGATTTTAAATGTAAAGCTGGTAGTGCCTTAAATTATCTAGGAGGTTCTTGCAAGCAAGTTAGTTACTGTTAGACATTTTATTTCCTATGATGCATAAAGAAGATTTGGTTTTGTAGTTATTGTTATTAGAGCCCAGACAGATCAATATTTTCTGATTTCATACCGAATTTACGTCTGCATTTGGTGTCTATCGTGAAACTACGCCAACCAAGAGTCTGTTTTATGAAATGATAGACGTTTTAGTCTTACTTACCGTATCACTTGTCAAAGTCTTCCTACCGGAACTGAGAAATTCAGGAATTTCACTATAGTATTTTTTATCCATGAGGTTTTCAGGAGTTTTGTTTTTCCATTCTTTTCCATACAGCAGTGACAGCGTTTCAACACTGTCTTGATCATCATCTTCGTCGTTTTCCTGATCTTCGTTATCACCAGCAAAATTAATCAAGGTCCACAACTCCTCTTTCCACTCCTAAAAAAATATGTTTTATTAAATGGCATGTTGTGTAGACGGCATATATATTGTCATACTGATATTTTGTACAAACTGTAAAGTCCACTGAGACAAATGTAACATTTGTGATATTGGGCTATATAAATAAACATTGATTGATTGATTGATTTGCAGCTTCATCATAAAAGTTGAAATAGCTCTAAGTTAACAAACATATTTAGATCATTTTACCTCTTTTGTAATGAACTCAATGTCTGCCTCGTACTTTGGGTTCTTCATGTTAGCCTCCACTTTAATCATCACTGAGGTACATGCACTGATGCTTCCAGAGGGCAACAGACCCTTCACTCCAATGACGGCATTTATCAGAGAGCTCTTTCCAGCCCCCGTTTTACCAAAGACGCCGACCAGCTCGCTCTTTTCTGTCTCCAAATCTTTGAGGTTATTTCTTTCTCTTTCCCTAAAAGAGTGTGTCAAATTCAAGAAGAAATCCATCTGCATGTACGAAACATCCTACTTAAGCATAATACTATCTTCAGACACATTTTTGGATTAAAAAAAATGTGGACTTTTACAAATCTCAACAGTGTCCTCAGTGCTGTATCATTTTGACAGGTTTACTATGGTCTCTTTAAACTCTTTCCCCTTGCTTGAAAACACTCATACTTACTTCAGGAACTTGATGAGCTTGTCGTCTTTGTTAGGTAGTTTACCAAGGACACATCTCATGATGTTTTTCACATCAGAAAGAATGCGTTTTTCTGTAAGAGTAAAAGTAAAGAACTATTCAGCAGGAACCAATAACCAGTACATCCGTTAAGATGTTTTCCCAATGAAGCAATCAAGAATACCTGAGAGTATCATTTTCATCATGTTTATACTATGGCAGGTATCTTACAGTTTAAGGCCATTATAACTTAATAAGACCTGTGTTGCTACATATATGTAAGTTCTTTAGCTGAACGATTAAACATTTAACAGATGATACGTATTAACCCTAGTTTCTAATATTTTGGAAAGTAATATAAATACCTTTGTTTGAACCTTGTATATCCTTACGTGGTCGTTTTCTGGCGGGTGATTGGCTGGACTCACCCGGAAGATCCAACTTCCTCTTTCCTTGGTTTTATTTTTTGTAAATAACATATATATTTATTTTTTATTAAAACATTTTCTCAACATTGTTTAGATAAAGCAGGTTTATTATTGTTTATAAAATATCAATAAACCTGCATATAATCCATAAGAAACTTTGTATCTCACCTTTATCATTTGTTTTGCTGGGACACACCTGGGGATGAACATGCACATGTAACTCTTTGTCCTCTCACAGGGCGTTACAGGCTTGAACACACATCTTTACAATTCGCACACACCTACATTTGCATTTAATTTCCCATTCAAAACTCTATGCAAAATAATATATACTTCAAAAATGGCTGTCAAGTGATCACATTCAGCATTCCTTTAACTGAATGAACAGCACTATGAACAAATGAAACAGTTCACAGTTCTTCAGTTAAAGGGGACTTTGTCTCAGGACGCTTCAAATATCAATGCATGAAGGATTGAGTCAAGTTCAATGATAGTCATGGTCAATTTAAAGTAATCATCACCTGAGCAGAAACAGCTTCCTCCCATTTACATTGTGAATAAAACAAATACTCTTGGTGGCCATGTCAAATGTTGAACAGACAATGACAATATCAAAAGTGAATTAAACTGCATTCAACTAACTTCAACAGAAGAATCAGATGTTTCCGGATCTCTTGTGCTTTGTTCCTCCTAGTTAGAAAAGAAAATAGTCTCAAATCCAGAATAGTAAGAAAAACGTATATAAAATTATAGTAAAGTCAACCAGATATATTAAACTCCTTTGTATGTAGATGATGTACATTTCTTGAGATTAATGAGACCAAATACAGTAGCTGTGTAAAAATGCAGGCTTTGCTTTTAACAACTTGAGTCTATATTTTAATTTTGACTGTGGTCCCACTTTTGGGATCAAGTCAGCAATGTCTCGATCTTCCAGACAGTAAAGACTTTCCTTGTCAACTTCGTGATCTGAAAAAAAAAAAAGATTAAGAAATGTCAACCAATTACAAATATCTGTAGATGTGTATTTTGCATGGGGTGAAATGTGAGTTCAGCTGTTGAACATATGTTTTAAAGAGCATTACAGACTCATAAGGTTGTCTGAACTGAATTCATATAAATAACACAATATTACCAATATCAGAATCAGAAAGGCATTCTGATTCTGATATTGGTAACATTGTGTTATTTGTTATTTTCAGTCTTGATTTAAGTGCTGCTGAAAAGATGCGACAGAAAATGAGTCACTCTGAAGTTAATCTTGAATAGCTTCCTCTCTGTGTGAAGATGTGGAATCTTTATGATTGTTTGAGTATGTCAGGGATATCTCAGAAAGTTACTGAGTAACGATGTTGAGGCAGTTTATGTGTCTTCAAGTAGATGCTTAGATATTTCAGTATTGGAAGATCATATCAACTTTGTATAATATGTTTGCCCAATACAAGTAAGGGAATACTTTACCTTGAAATGTTGGTGTGAATTTGCTTACAAATAATTTGTTGCGATCAACATTATCCATGATTAAGAATAGCAACTGGAAAGTAAACAAATAATTGTTTTAATCAACAAAATAAGTACTTGTGAGAGTTTTGATATGTCAATAGAAAAATAAAGGGTTATTAAAGTGATAATGGCAGCCTAATTAAAGTTTTTATATGAAGCATGTAGGAAATATTTGTATGATCACAAGATAAGCACAAATAACTGAGTACACATTTCTGAAAAAAATTCTTTTCTGAGAGCCTGCTTGGCTGTTTACTTACCTGCTATTTGCCTTTCTGGTAGACGTTTACAGAAACTTGAGCTTTCATGTTTTCCAGAGTGAATCTATGAATCACCACGGGAGTGGCGCAGTGGAATAGTGCGTTGGTTTAGGGGGTCACAGGTCTGCAGTCAGCATGTCGTTGTGTCCCTGAGACACTTCACCCCAAATTACTCCTGTGTCCACAGTATTGAGAATGTAAGTCGCTTTGGATAAAAGGGTCTAATAAGTGACATGTAATGTAATTTAAATAAAGGAATTGATTCTGAATCAAAGATCAATTATTGTCAAACTATCCAACAGTTTACACAAGTACAGCTGAAATTAACATTTTAATCATGAACTACTCTATGCCAGAACATTTATTGGCAATTTTCTTTTCTGATAATTGTTTGGCTAAATGTTCAATAAAAATCTTCCAGGTAGATCCAGATTCTCAGATGTTAGCTATCCTGTGTGTTTGCTGTCCAAACAAAGTGATTATAACCGTCTCTAAGGCTACCACTCGGGTATTTTTCCACAGGCCCTGAAAACTGCAGTCATTAAACCGCTCTTAAAAAATAATAATCTAGATGCTTCAGTAATGAACAATTACAGGCCCATATCAAACCTCCCATTTCTAGGTAAAATCATTGAAACAGTTGTTTTTTCAACAGTTGAGTAATTTCTTGCATTTAAATAACTGTTTTGATGTGTTCCAGTCAGGCTTTCGTCCAAACCACAGCACTGAGACTGCTCTTGTAAAGGTCTTTAATGACATCCACTTAAACACAGACAGTGGCAGAACTTCAGTGTTAGTATTATTAGATCTCAGTGCTGCGTTTGACACTGTTGACCACAACATATTACTAGACCGACTGGAAAACTGGGTGGGACTTTCGGAAACAGTTCTAAATTGGTTTGAATCCTACTTAAAGGACAGACACAACTTTGTTTCTATAGGTAAATACACATCTGAGTTGACAAATAGGACATGTGGGGTTCCTCAAGGCTCCATCTTGGGGCCTCTTCTCTTTAACGTCTACATGCTACCACTGGCTCAGATAATGAAGAACAACAAAATAAGTTACCATAGCTATGCATATGACACACAAATGTACATAACCATTTCACCAGGAGACTATGCTCCAATTCAAACACTGAGTAAGTGCATTGAACAAATCAATGACTGGATGTGTCAGAACTTTCTCCAATTAAACAAAGATAAAACTGAGGTAATGGTTTTTGGAGCCAAGTCAGAACGTATAAAAGTTAGCGCTGAGCTTCAGTGTGCAATGTTCAAAACAACAGATAAAGCCAGAAATCTAGGTGTAGTCATGGACTCTGACCTGAGTTTCAACAGTCACATTAAAACAGTTACTAAATCAGCCTACTATCACCTAAAGAATATATCTAGGATTAAAAGACTAATGTCACAGCAGGATTTGGAAAAACTTGTCCATGCTTTTATCTTCAGTAGACTCGACTACTGCAATGGTGTCTTCACAGGTCTCACTAAAAAATCTATTAGAAAGCTGCAGCTGATTCAGAACGCCGCTGCTCGAGTCCAGTCATTGAAGTACTTCAATGTATTGTAAGTAGTAGGCTAATACAAAGTCAAACAGTATCAATTTCATTAAGAACTAATGGTACAATTATATTTGTATCACTCATCAAAGATAGCAGAAAAAAATGCATTAGACTATGTACTATGGAGGGGACTCTGACAGAGGATTACTCACAAAGTACACAGCAAAAGTACTTCATTTTATTTCTGGTAGAAGTCAAACTAGAACCGAGTCCAACAGTGTCAGTTTTCTTAAGAACTTGTGGTAAAACATATTTGTATCACTCGTCAAATATAGCAGGAATGAAGAGCAGCTGATTTGAAAAAACAAACTCGAGAGATGGCTGAGTGACCGCAGTGCAGAATCGCTGTATAGTTTAAATCTCCTAACAATGTTGTCCATTTTAGACATAGGCTTATTATATTTACAGCCCTTAATAATATCCATTCTCTGGGCTCAATATGTGTCTTTTTCAATATGGCCGTTTTCGTTGTGATCGCTAAATTCACCTTGTTTCCCTTTGTTTATAATATTATCACCGCTTTTGTTTTGAAATCACTTCCGTCAGTTTCACCCCGCCCCTCGCTCCAAGGACCATTTAGTAAGGTAAAAAGTAGTGATGGCGAGATGAAGCCTTCTGAAGCTTTCCAGCCAATTGGTTCGCAAAAGGGTTAATCTCATGAGGCTTCATCATGGGCTTCATTTGAACACAAACCCCCTGTTGGTCAAAGTGTGTAAAACAGGCAGATTGGACATCTCAACAGTGTGCTCTATCTCATACCGAGTTCCCAATGAGTAAAGCCTTATAATAACTCTAAACAACGAACACTAAATCATATCTGCATGTCAACAATATTGTATTTATTACAGTTTAATGATTGTGATTGAAAAGCCTAAGGAGGCTGGTAAACATTGCAAAGAGGGATTTATATTCCTTAATAATATTCGTAAACTTAACCATGTTGTAGCCTGAGAAAGGCTAAACCATATCAAAGAATACATTTATTAACTACATTATCTCATTTAGCTGTAGCTTTTATAAACAACAAAAAAGAGGTATTGTTCAGTCGTTGAACCAGGGACCCTGCGGTCATGAGTCAACTGCTTTCAGGCTGAGCCACAGCACACACGCTGAATCTCCTTGAAAACACTGTAAGATATGTATTCCTGCATTTATTGATGTTTTTATTCCTACATTTATTTATGCTTGTATCTATTTATACTTATGACATGTTCGACCTCTATATGAGTGAGGGTCTGAGCTCTCTTAATTCCATCGTGTCACCGGGCCCGGGTACAGGAGGGGTAATATGGTTCTTAGTATACATCCATGGGTATTATGAGCGTTGTGGTTCAACGGGTCAACCGATCTAAAGCACTTTCTGAAGCAGTCACGTGGTATCGACAGGAAGCGAGGCTTCGTTTGTCATCGATGACGTCACTGGCCCAAAACGATACAAGCCTCGATACATGCTTCACAAAAAGCTTCAAGGATTACTCGACACACGCTCCAAAGCCTCGGCGCAATACGTAACATCACTAGTAAAAAGCAAAAAGGCTTCTCAGACGCTCTTCCGTTTACGTGTTTAATAAAGAAAAACAATTGGACGGTAGATACACGGATTAGAAATGCTCAATGCGGTTGTTTTTCCCGATAAATATGCTCCCCTCTGGGATACTTTTCTGCTAAATCACACTTTTATGTTCGGTTGTGTAACATGACTTTAAGTTTGTGGTTTCTTGTTTGTTTTCTGTGTTCTAATTTCAATTTATTTAAGGCTGAAACACAGAACATGGTACAAAACACATACATACCCTGTGAAAGAACATACAGCTCCGTTACAAAACAAACAAAAACACGTACATTGGTTTTGAAACTAATTTAATGTTACTTGTTTTCCAAACAAGAAACCCTAACACATTAACAACATATAACCATTCATTTAATTCTTACAAAATTAACAGTGAAACAAAAGAATATGAATCGTTCCAAAGCTTACCCGTAGCGTACAGCCTGTTGATATGAAGCTAAGAGCAGATTAAAGGAGTCTCTCGCTGAGTATGCCAATAACTGCCCAACCCAACCTGGGAAACGAAACTTAAAATATCTTTGTTTCCGCTGATAGGTGCAGAACGTTACTCCTCCCACACTACATTAATCTTGCGTTATTTTAATTCAATTTGAACTGGATTAGTGTTTGAAATGTAAACCCTAATCCTATTCCCTGTTAAAGTTGTCATTTTCTCTAATCATGTGGGTATTTTCATGTCAAGTGTTTGTATAATTCTTACTTTTTAAGGTAGAATCAAGAAGTTTAGAATGTGACAACTCTTCAATTCTGAAACATGGCACGGGGTCTAAGGGTGGTACACTTTGGAACCAATCAGTAAGTAGCACGTTGGTGACATTAAAAATCATACTGACTCCGTTGCTACTCATCATTAATAAAAAAAAGCCGCACCCTAGCACTGAACCTGTTTGTCAGGACGACCAAAAGGGAAATGATTTGTTTATCTAACAATAGAAATGTATGTTATTAAACAATTTGTGAGATATTTAAATACATTGAACTTAATGAGGCCTAAAGAACACTTTGTTCTCTGATCAATCATTATAAAACATATCATATATTATTCTGAAATGGACCAATCTGCACAACGACTACTTTTACTGTCACTACTTTCACTATATTTTGATGATAATACTTTTCTACTTTTAACCTGCAGGTCCGCTGCAACTCTGACTACTTTTAAATCCAGGCTGAAGACTTTTCTTTTTGTCGTTGCTTTTAATTGAACTATTCATATCTTAAACTGCACTGTAACTTTGATCCATGTACTTTTTTCTTTTAATGTTTCTTTTATTAGCTTTTCTTTTTAATGACTGATTTTAAATTCCATTTTCTTAATCTCTTTCATTTTTTGTAAAGCACTTTGAATTGCCTTGTGTTGAAAAGTGCTATATAAATAAACTTGCCTTGCCTTGCCTTTTACTTGAGTAACATTTTGAATGCAGGACTTTTACTGAATTATAGTATTCCTACACTCTGGTACTTCTACTTTTACTCAAGTACAAGATCTGAGTACTTCTACTTTTACTCAAGTACAAGATCTGAGTACTTTTACTTGTACTCAAGCACAAGATCTGAATACTCCCAACTCTAGCAGTGAGATATTTAAATAAATATACCTAAATTCAACTTAATGAGGCCTAAAGAACACTTTGTTCTAGATATGTGGTGCTAAAAAACGTGGAACAATGCTTCTAAATGTGTAATTTTATTAAGTATATCATCACCTTCACACAATTTATATTGTACATTTCACCAGGGCTGATTTCTAGGTCAGGATGTGATGAAACATCCCAACATTCACAGCAAACTAAATCCTAACTCAAACCAAGGATAACAAGGAACATAATAGCAAGCATATATGTGAGTAAGTACAAAATAAAATCATGCAGCAAAAGTTATATTGATGTTCAAACAGAGAATTAATGTTATAAACTTCATTTTTAATGTTACATCAGTGTTAGATAAGAGGATTTGTAATGAAAGATACATCAATTGCATTTCCTTTCAAGACTTTTACAATAAACAAAACATTTAATAAGGGATCTAAATAAAAAAAGACTCCCTGAAAAGTTAAAGGCACCAAAGCACACCTTAGTGTTTTATAGGGGAGAACATGCAAAGTGTGACCTCTGGTGGGGAATTTAAAATCTGCAACTAGCTCACAGTGAGCAGGATGGAAGATTAAAGTTCATTTGAAGCCACGTTGAACATTAACCCAATGAGTATAAGTATTCAAATGGAATACTGCTTCAACTCTATGCATGCTATAATACACAACCTTTTACCCAACAGGCCATTTACTTAATTACTGCATCATTATGAGATTATTTAAATGGAGTATGCTTCATGTTTTAGATGCAGAATGTAATTCAAACAGGTAATATTTAAACTCACAATCAGTTTATACAATATGTATAGAGACATGAATACAACAATAAAAGCACAGCATCTTAATGCATCAATTCAGAACCATTTAGGAGAAATTACTACTTCATTTGTACCTTTACTGCAAATAATATAGTATGTATAAAGTAGTATAGTGAATGCCTGAGTACTTTTCCAGCATTTTTCCTTGTCATTTTAAAATCTACAAATGTAAACACTGTCCAGTGCTTTAAATGTTTGGGGTTTTCTTCAGTTGTGGAAACATTTGTAGCATTTTCCTGAACAAATATTGCCGGAATGATGATTTGCAAAATCTTTAAACTAACTGCATCACAAGGGCCAACCACTCTTTGCATTTACCAAAACAACAGTTGTCTAGTATCTGAGGATTACCTCTTTTCCTCTCAATAACTTCTTAAACTCACAACATCTCAGCAGTGTTTCCAATGGGAGCATAAAGATGAAGTCCTGCATAGAGAGGCTGAGTGAAGGTGGTCTTGATTCTGAGCAGGAGGGTCATGGTTTCCTCTGAGACGCTGTAGAAAGACAGAATACCTGCACTGTGATCCAGGTAAACTCCGACCCTGGAGGTCTGAGGACCTGGGATGGGAGTTGGGTTTTTCTGATGTCTGAAATCATAACGACCTTTGTAAAAACCTAATGCCCACGACTTTTCACTCTCTCCAAATTGTTCATTTACAGTGTCATTGTCTTTGTATGCTACAGCCACTGCAATTCCTCCCATACCTTTCTCCACCTCCCAGTAACAGCGTCCAGGCAGACTCTCTTCACTCAGGACCTGAGGGTATGTAGTGAATCTTTCTGGGTGACTAGGATAACTTTCTCCTAGCGTTGAAGTTACTTTTCGGTTCCTCTCAGAAAAGTACAGACGTGTGTTTGCTGTGTTTGGATCCAGAGTGATTTGATGTGAGTATTTTAAGAATCCAGCTCTGGTCTGGGGCTGTGGTTGTGACAGCAACGTGTCCACATCACCCACTGTCAGATACACCTTTGTCCATTTATCTCTCAGGACGTCCAGTAGTTTATCTCTGAATTTTGACAAAGCTGCTTTCACATCTTCAAGGTATGGCAGAGGAAGGATGCTGGATGAGTGTGTAGATGAGGGGTAGCTTTGAATAAACTGGTTGTGATCCTCTGTGTGAGACAGCAGCTCCAGTGCAGCGTCTCTCCTCTTCAGCTCAGAGATCTCCTGCTCCAGCTTCTCCTGGAGCTCTTTGACTCGACTCACTTCTCTCTTCTGCTGGGATCTGACCTGCTGCTTCACATCAGAGCTTCTTTTCTCCATGAGACGCATCAGCTCAGTGAACATCTTCTCACTGTCCTCCACTGCTTTATCAGCAGAGCCATTGACGGCCTTCACCTCCTGCTGAAGCAGCTTCACCTCCTTCTCTCCGTCCTGGATTCTCTGCTGGATGTTTAGTCGACTCCCCTCCAGCTCTCTCTGCCTCTCAGTCCTCTCTGCTGCAGCTGACACTGTGTCGTGGCCTTTGTGTTCGTCCAGAGAGCAGAGATAACAGATACTCTGCTGATCAGTGCGGCAGAACATCTTCATCACCTCGTCGTGACGAGAGCAGATGTTCTCCTGGAGCTTCTTGGAGGGCTCCACCAGCTTGTGTTTTCCAAAGGCAGGAGATTCATAGTGAGGCTGGAGGTGTTTCTCACAGTAAGAGATCAAACACTGCAGACAGGACTTACAGGCTCTCAGTTTTCTCCCAGTGCAGACATCACAGGCCACATCTTCAGCTCCAGCATAGCAGAGATCAGCAGGAGCTTCTTCAAGTCCAGTCTTCTTCTGTTTCTCCACTAAATCTGCTAACATGATGCTTTTCAGCAGGACAGGCCTCGATGTGAAGCTCCTTCTACAATGAGGGCAGCTGTAGACTTCCTTCTCATCCTCTTTGTCCCAGTGGGTTTGAATACAATTCATGCAGAAACTGTGTCCACAGGAAGTAGTCGCAGGCTCCTTAAGTACATCCAGACATATCGAACAGCAAATTGCGTCCTGGTCCAGCTGAGCTCCTTCTTGCAACATTATACCTCCCATGCGAGTGACAGTCTGCTGTTGATATAGCCTGCCAGCTCACTCACTTCACAATGACTCACAGTTTCACCTACATTGAAACTTAAGTTCAGTGAAGGGGAGGGAACAAGTGATTATCTGTGTGATATGCAGAAAGAATGACGGGCTTATACGCTTAACTTCATTCCAGCAAGAGGAGCGGTTTAATAAGATACAGGGTGTGTTTAGTAGGCTACTCCTTATTCCCGGAATCAAGCACATTGTGACAACAGGACTTTGTGCTGACTGAATGACGATACCGCTGCCAAATCAATTAAGTGGAACAAAAGGGAAAATATTTCCCTTTGTAATGTAGTGGAGTATAAGTATCGGACAGTGTAATACAAAATACTTTTTATACTTTTTTTTAATACAAAGAACTGTACTAGAGTAAATGTTCTTAGTAACTTTTCAACTCGTATGTAACGTACAGTAAGATTAACTGTGTTTCATTTATATATAAATAATACTTTTTGATGGTAAAAGCCAGAATGAAATGGAAAAATGGATCTTAAAGAAAGAGGAAGATTATTCTAATCAAAAGGAGCTTTGTATTCAAATGACCTGCTTCCCACTTCCTTGAAAAAAGAGGGAAAACTAAAGTGACATTTTAAAGATCAACCTTATCCAATGAAACTGTCTTCTAGATTGAGGCTGCAGCCAATTGGTGACTTCTTAAATACTGACAAAAAGAAGATCCCGCATCAATTTACAGTAAATATCATATCACACTTCGTTCATGCTGCCACTTGGAGCCACCAGTGCTCCATGTTTCCTGTAATGCAACTTCAAGTGACTTAACTGAGCCAAACAAAAATCTGTATTGGTTGTAAGAAAGCAATCTTTTTTATGTTTAAAGAGCTATTTTATTATGTTAAGGTGGAAATAAAGGGCAGGCAGACTTTATATACAGTATTATAGACAGGAGGCGTGTCCCTGCGTTTCATTTGTTTTTATCTTTCTGAACCAGTAAAGGGAAAAGAGACTGCAATATTTGTTTTGTTTTTTACCTTATAATAAATGTCCAGAGGATCTTTCGAGCGAGGGGGCAGGGCGGAATACACCAAAGTAATTTCAAAATAAAAGCCCTTGTCTGGTCA